ATATCTGGAGTCTGTTATGCCCTTTGCTATGACCACTGTTCATGAGCTTTCAAATATGCAACTTATATAGCATCTAATAAGTTATTTCTTTTTTATATTTATTATTTTGTTAGAATAATCTGCAAAATGCTAAATCACTCAAAAATATCCCAAGATATGAATCCAGTACTTTTAGAGTAGTATATTAAAATTTGCCTTGAAATGTGCATAGTTCTTACTTTCCTGAAGAAATATTCTATTGAGTCTGGCTGATTGTCCTTTAATTTCCTTTCTTAAAAAAAGTTTCAGATATATCTTTCTGTTCTGGTTAAGTATCAGGCATCCACAATAATGCCTCTTAGCCACACAGGGAAGCCTCAGGTAGGGAACAAATCCAGTTTTGTAACTTCTTTGCGTCATTGGGCTGGCACTGCAAAGCAGGGGTCAGGATACTTTTGTGATATTCAGATAGGCTACAGCATCAGCATCTCATCTTATCATTAAATATGACCTGAAGATAGACTTAAACCCTGATATTATGCGAATGCTTAGCTGTTCCAATCATACACATGCATAAATATACACTAAATATAAACATACGTCTGTCCACATTTCACTATGAGAGTCTTTTCAAACAAAAAAACTTTACATACATACAGCATAAAGGCTATCTATAACAAATAAGTTGACTAAATAAACAAGGTGAAGGTTTATTTAAAAACAATTGCAAGATGGCTTGCATTTTTGCTCAGTATTGAGCTCTGTGTTGAAAATACATTTTTCATAAAACCACATATAAGGCTTTTCAGTGGTGAAAGAATCAACTTCCAACAGCCACATGTCTAAGCACATTCTTAGGGGGTAACATGGACCCCACACACATTCCAGACTGAGAGAGAGGTTACTACAGAGTAGCAAAGTAAAATGTGTGATATTCCTCCAGACCATTTTGTTAACTAAATAAGTCTCTTTTTAAAGTGGTTCAACTGAAGGACAAGTTAGACAGACTCATTCTGCTGATTTTTTTTAATGTGATTTCTTACATTAAAATGAAAACGTTGCATCTAAAATTAGTAGTAAAAATGACAAGAGATTTTTTAGGAAAGGAAAGAAACCATTTGGCCTGCTACTTGTTTTGAGTTGTCTAAATTTCTGCCGCCTGGGTTTTATTTTACTTTCTCGTACTGAAATCTCTCCCTGTGCCCCCCAGGCACAAAATTCAGTGTCTCAGGGCTTATGTACCAAGCTGCAGTAATGCAACTAAAAAATTTTTTTGAAGATTTTTTAAAAAGCAGCACAAAAGGCTGTGTGAATACTCTTAAATCAATATTGTACTGAATTGTTTATCTTAATTAGAAATAAGTTTAAACAAAATCAACTAAACTTCCGTTGAACTGAAACAAGTATGTCTATGGGAATTTGCACCAGTTTAACCACCTCTTTAAAATTTAAGTTAACTCTCTGTATGCGATCAAGGACTCACCTGCATTTATTACTCTTTGTATGAACTCTTCCCTTGAGTTACCTATTTACTCTTATCTTGATGGATTCAAAATGCTTATAACAAAATCCACACCACGGTTAAAGTGTTGCTGCTTGTGTTCCCTTTCTGCTTCCTGCAAGCTAGGCCATATTTATTTTTAAAAAAGAAAAACAAAAAATGAGCTTCACCAAAAAAACAAAAAAAGTGCAACTGCAGTTTCATGTTGGGGCTTTGGTTCCTTTACATTTAAAAAACCCCAACCTCCCCCCCTCTTAACCCCCCCTCAAAACAATACTTTAAACTCGGTGTGCCCCTGTGCTGAGCCCAGAGCCTGCCCAAAAGAGGCTTTGTGTTAGTTTGACCCAGCTCACCCAGCGTCTGTATAATTCAGGCGCTTCAGCAGGGTGTTTTTGGCGCTTTTATCTAATAGCTGATTGAATCCCCTTTAGATAAAAGTGTCAAAAAGCCCTGCTGAAGTGCCTGATCGATACATACATTGAGTGAGCCAGGTCAAACTAATGTGCTACCTCCTTTGGTAAAGTGTGGATTTTTTTTGTTTGTTTGTTTGTTTTCCACATCTGTCAGCAGCCCTGGTTTCTCAAGACATGCACTAATGTGAAACAAACCCAAAGAGAAAGGGCACACAAGAGCATTAACCAAAACTGTGGAGGCTTGCACAAGTGTGCCGGACATTAGCAAAATCTACTTCTGTACATAGCTATGGAAGTCTAAAATCCTCTCGGTTCTCCTGAGCTGAATGTTCTCTACAGAGCAATCTTTCTTGCAGCCCAGATATCTGTAGTACCTGAAATATTCCTGGTGGGATCTTCTGTAATAATAATGAAACCGTATTTTGCTTCCTAATCCAAAAATTTCTCTTGGAACTGTTAGGTTGGTCCTGTTTTGCATAGCTTACAAAGCAAGTGCTCTATCATTTGAGCTAATTTTCCTGTGTAAACCAAAGTTGTCAGCACTGGTCCTGAGAGGAAGGTTAGTCACCAATTTGTTAAACATTATTATTAATCTATAAATAAGTTTTTAACTTTAGTCTATAATTTACAGTGTTGAGTTTTATTCTCCACCGTGTCACATGTGTGACTTTGGAAAGTGCTTTGGAGGGAGTCAAATTAAAAAGGGTGGATCTTACTCCTAGCTTGCACCTCCCTACCCCATCCCCCTGCACAAAAAAGGTTAAATGTCTTTTCAAATTAAGGCAGCAGTAATTAACCACTGGTATTGTTTGTGATTTGCCAGCTCTGCACATTAATGAGAGAGAAATTAGCGCTTAGCAGCAGGAGCTCTTGATAGTCAGTGGTAAATGCTTAATGTGCCAACAAGTTAATTTTGGTTTTAAGTACTCCACTTAAGTCTTTGGGTTTTTTAAAACATATTCTGCAAATTATCTCCGATAATACATATTCTGTCTCTGCTACAAAGTCACATTACAACATATTACACTAATACTGTGGAAAAAGATGTACCATGACTAGTTTTGGTGATTAATAAAGGGTCTAAAAAGATTTAAAGGAACAGTTTCACTGGCAAAGAGAGGCTCTGGTCCCACAGCTCGCTCTAGCAAGATGAACCCTCTTCAAACTATGACTACAGAAGAAGAGTCACTTCTGAACCTGTTGCAAGTTGTGGACAATATTGTTGAAAAATAATTACACTGACAGCTCGACAAAAATCATTTAAACAGTTTCTTTGAGTCGCCTCAGAAATGTCTGTTAGAATTAAACGTCATGGTTTCACGTAGTTGCAGTTTAAACATAGAGGCAAGTGCCTTTTACCATGTGGGTTTTCAGATTGCCACAGAGTGCAAACCAAGTCCTTCAGCAACAGAGAAGAGAAAACATGCTAACAGCCAACAAGCATCCCATCTGACTTGCATAAAGTAGTTAAAAATACAAAATGTATACTCTGTTATGTGGGTTTATTTTAATTTTTTTTAGACTGAACTTACATGTTCCTTTGAAGTAACTGGTTTGAACACTTAATTGCATTATAAATACATTATGTTGAGATTGTCACACTTAGTTTCTACCTCATGGTGGAGGGAGTATGTCGTTGAAAAATTGCAGCACTTGCTAAAGTGATGGGTTAAATATGCACACTTCCTTCGCCCCTAAAATGCAGCTCTCTCTGGAGTGGAGGGTAGTGACCATGAAACAATATGTAGCAACACTATGCAACAGTTCTGGACAGTAGAATACCATGCCTAATTGAAACTGCAGGGGGAATCCACAGGCTTTCTTCTTCTTTGATGTCTGTTCCATTACAAGAACACATCAAATAGAGATTTCTATAATTCAGTGTTGGAAAGAAACCACCCTAATGAAGCTAGTCTGGCACTGCCACAGTGTAGAGTGCTTCCATTGTCTGCTAAGTGGACTTTTAAGTTATTGTGCATCCCCTGACACACTTTTATTATAATTAAACATGAACAAAAATTGGCTACCATATTGGTGTGAGTACTGAGCACAGCTCTGTGTATAAACCATTATATGACATTCTATTGAACTTTTTCTTGTACATACAGTATCTAACAGCTCATCCTGCACTGTTGTTTTTGGCAAGTTGACTAGCATATAATAAATCACAGAAAGAAAAAGCTTTTTGGCCTAACGTTGTACAGACTGCTGTAATGTTAGACTAAGAAAGCGGTTCTGTTTTTAGACATCCTTTTACTAACCCAACATTCATAATTTATGATTTCACTGTAAAATTCCTGCAACACTACACCAAAAGTAGTGCTGCCCTTTAATTAAGTGCTCTCAGTAGGAAAAACGTGAAACTGATGTGCAAAACATATCGCTGTACACGGTGATTGATAGTGATTACTTCTTTATGAACCCAGCCTGAAGGTCTGAACTTCCTGATGGGTAAAATAGTCCATGGGGCTACTTCCTGAGATTGCCTAGTGGGGATCAGTCAGTGTTAGTAATATCTGAGGAATTCCTCAAGCACATATTAGACATTGCAGTAGAAACTTTTTTATGAACTGTGCCTTGTGCTAATAATTACTTGCATAATCACTCACTGTAGATTGTATTTTAAAGACTTGTTGATCTTGATTGTACTGAAATCCACATCCTTTGCAACTTTATGTAAACCCATGTATTTTTAATATCTAAATGTCAAAATGTAAAATAAATGGAGAGTAAGAGATGAGAAACTTCTGTATGTATCACACAGTTACTAAATGTTATTACAAAGGCATGTAGGGGTCTGTTCTTACTACTAATGAGTTATACGTACAAAGTAATAGAACAATAAACTTTCTGCATAAACTAAAACAATGCTAATTTTTTGACAGCCTAAGGAACATTTTTTATTCGTGGAATTGGATATTATTGAAATGTGTGAAATTGTGTGAAACCTGGAAAATTAAATGTAGTTAAAATATTCTGTCCAATTTTGGAATGAAATTAACACGTGAATTACTTGTTTGTTTGGAAGTGTAGTTTTTGTTTTTTGGTTTTTTTCATCTTGTATGGGCATGATTCTTATGTTATGGTCTCCTTTTTTGTTTTTATAGATTTGGTCCTGGATTAGTCATCTATTGGTATGGTTTTATTGAAGAGCTAGACTGTCATCGGGAACGTGGTATCCTGCTAAAAGACTGTTTTCCTACTGACATTGTAACGCTGCGACACAGCATGGCTCAACACTGATGCTGGAAGAGAAGTTGGGAGGAAGAGGTGAATCCGGAAGCAATTTTACTTTCCTGCAGTGTAAACTACTGGCAACATTCTGCCCTGAACTTCAGCTGAACTCTTGCTGCCCCTGATCGCACTACTACCTCTTTAGACAAACATATCAAGAGTTTCTGCTTTGCTTCAGACCTCTGTTGTTGTGAGCAGCCAAAAACTACAGACACAACCCACTCATTATCAGCTTTCTGTCTCTGTTGAACAGTTAGTTTACAGATAGTCATAATCTTTTTTTTCCTTCCGGATGGCTTCTCCTAGGGTTGTTAACAAAAGGAAAAATGTGGAGGCTGAAAGGTGTGACTTACTGTTCTCCTCCCTGTTATGAAGTCACCTTAGAAAAAGCCCTTCTATTATTCCATTCACAACCTTATTTCAAGTGTTAAAGATCCAGCTCAAAGATGCACATAAGCCACAAAATCTGGTTATGGCTGTAACTCCATATTTTACACAAATATTGTACCTGTTTAGTGCAGTTTATATAGTCAGGGAGAACATCTCTATCATCTTGTTTGAATTCTGAATTTCTTGGCTTCTGTGCCATCAAGCCAGACTGTTACCACTATTTTAGGTTGGTGTATGGACTACCTTAGTTTGTAAGGTTGCTTTTGAAAAAAAAAAAGACTCTGAACTTAATTTTTTTAATGTTTTTTACAACTCCCCCCTGCCCCAATCTGCCTTGTTTGGGAAATTCTATGGCTGTAGCTTGTAAATGTGACTCTCTATGCCTTAAAAAATTTGATGGAACACATTGTCCTTTTTCAGCTTTTAACGTTTTCTAGAGAGCTATAGGTAAGAATCTTTTCCTTAATTGATGGTAGGCAGATAATTTGTCTGGAGCTTTTTCGGCAATATGATATGCAGTTTCCTGGCATGTGCAAGTCTAAATCCAAAAGAACCATGTTCAGGAATTTTCCACTTAATTGACCTGTTCAGAGAATAATTTAGAGTTCAAGAAGGGGAACCAAAATGATAAACAGTGTTTCCTACTGGACCAGTTTCTGGGTTGAGGAACTCATCTCCTGAATGCTATTATTTCAGAGTCTTTCCTTCCTTCTAGGATTGCCAAGGTTGGAGGTGGTGGCCAACTCCCACTTTCTTTGAAATTGTGAAGACTCCTTTCTCAACTCTTCTCACAGAGGAAGCTAGTGTTCAACTCCAATTTGGCTCTCCCACCTAAAAGTTTGTCAGGCACAGCGTCCTTTAGGGCCTATGGCCTCTTAAAAACTTGTTTCTAGTAATCCAATGGAGAACATAATCTTTTAGAAAGCTGAGAGAGGGAGCATGTGTGCTTGCTGTTTCTGCATTAGTCAGCCCCAGAATCAAATAGAACTGTAGGCTCTATGTTGAGAAGCTTGTCTTCAGCGGTGATAGCATTCAGAAACTGATAGAGAAGCTGTTTTGCACCCAAGAGATTTTGAAATTGTTTACAGAATTTTAACCTACAATTAGATGGGCAGACAATAAGTATTAAGCCAGCATGAATCCCCCACATCCAGTTTTGACATCTGTAACTTTGGAACAATTCTACAACCTTAAATTTCAAATCTCAGTTTTACTCTCAACTTTCTGCCATGATTCAGCCTTAGGCTCATTTATAATGCTACATATCTTCATTGTTTTATTCCTAGGAAATAGCTTTAATATGTTTTGTTATGGAGACATGTTTGCAGTGTACCTTGAGTTAGCTGTGCAACAAAGATTGTTTTATTATCTTTGTATGTGTTAGTTTAGAAAGAAAAAAAAATCCCTTTATTCAAACACCTGTAACTCATTTATGTTAAACTATTTAAAGTATTGCACTTGTTTTATTTTTATCTGACAGGCTTTATGGATCTTCACATAAAGATACACAAAAACAATCTGTAGAGTGTACCTTCCTGATGCTACACAGAAGCAGCATTTAGGGTGTTACTGCCCCTGGGACTTATATTTCTGGTTTAGGTTAGTGGCATGTGTAAAACCAAGAACAGAATAAAGTAGTAGTAATAATAGAACATTTTCCAGTAGGAAACTCTAAATTAATGATCATCTAAGTGAAATAGGTTTAAGGGCAAAACTGAATTTGCTTTAGCTAATGCATATGCTTTCTGTTGTATGAAATCATTTAAATCAGTCTTTATATGAGACACAAATATGGCTTTTCTTTTTGAATAAATTAAATTTATCTGCACAGATGTTGAAAACTCTGCTCAACCCCCATCAAAGCTTTGTTTTATTTGTCTTTACATTAAACAAATTTATGTGGAGGGTGCACAAATAAATAAGGTTATGCTTGTATTTGTTTGTTTGTTCCTGTACCCCATGCTGTGATATAACAGGTTGGAAGGTAATGTTGGTGTCCTTAATCAAAGCATGGTCCACATCTTTATGTATAGCCTCTTTTAAAATCTTTGTATTGAAATGACAATGAAACATGCCATAAAAATATATGTACTATACTAATTTTAGTTCCTTGTACTTCTTGAACAAGCCTTGCCATCACAAAAATTATCATACATTATGTCACTATTAAATGCTGGAAACATTTGTTTAAAATTAAAACTGCATTATTATTCCTAGTCTTATCTTGCATTTGCGTTTTCTCAGTTAATCAAATGTAAACATCAATTCCAAGAATAAAAGGGAGAGACTGCTGCATTTTTTTTATTTTTTTACAATGCTGTAGTCATTAGAACCTTAACATTACAGCCAAATCCAGTTTTATGGAGTATTCTGCAGAGTGTGCTAATGAATTATGCCAAGCCAGAAAACAGAAGTGTGCATAAAACTGAATGATGTTCTCACTGGCATATATAGACTTGCCAAGCATCTGCTCTTACAAACAATGTAATAAGACCTGTTCCAAGCCTTAAGAATTGCTGCAATTGTGTGCAGTGAGTTCAATGTGCAAGTAGAACTTGGTGAACCAGGAGGAATGGCACATAACCATGCAGGTCATCTTGAAAATACCACAATCTCAGTTAAGTAGTACAAAATGTTTACCTTTATGTGCTTAGAATGAAAGAAAGATAACTCCAACAATGCTCTTTCAGGAAAAAAAAAAAAAACCTTGGAGAAAATAGCAAAACCCTAATGAACTAGAAAAGTGAATGGGAGGTAGCATAAATTCTACTTAGCCTTTTGATACCTCATCACTAGTTTGCTTCACATCTACACCCAGTGTATTCATACTGTTTGTTCCCTGTGTTGTCTCATCTCTGCTAGTTCTTAGCTTTCTTACCTTGCCTTCTATGTACATCTCTTCTTGTAACTGATTTTAACAAAACTTCATCATTTTGTTTTTATTTTTCCATATTGTTTAGCCAATTCTCATTTATAGCTTAGTATCCTCTCATGAGCCTTCTTACTATTTCAAAACCTCTCCTTACTGTCTATTTTTGCCTCTACAAATGGTTCCTGCTGAAAGCTCTGGGTCCAAGATGTGCCAGTTCTTTCCTATTGCATGTCCATTTAGAATAGTCTACACTATAATACAGCAATTCCTTTTCACAATTCCAATGTAATGAACAACGTAAGACATCAGGGAGGAATGTCCCTAAATCTCTACAAATAGTACTAATACAAGTATTACACTGCAGTTCAGGTACAGAATGATGACATTTTTACCACTTTCTGAAATGGTAAAAATGAGCCACTTCCAACTGCTATTAATGAAATCAGTAGAAGGGTGGTCTAAACCAGTATAACAAACCCCTTTCGTATCTAGTGACCAGTAATTGTATAGAAGGAAGATTTCATTTTAAATACAACCTGTGAAGCAACAAAGCATGTACAGCCAATACTAAGACTTTTAAGTCTTAATAAGCTCTGGCATATTAAAGCTATTATTCTGCAGGCCTTATTAAACTGCAGTAGAAATAATACAAGTAGTTTCATTAAATCAAGAAACTGGGTTCTCTTCTGTGCCAAGATCTACCTGGCGTAGGAGAAAGATGAGCATCAGTGAACCACATCTAGGTCCCTAATCTGCTAAACTTTGGCAAAATTGAGCCCAGCTCCTCCTCTGATTTTAGCTGAAACGTCTTCACTTCTTGGGAAAGGCAAGGATTGTTGTGGTTGATATCTTCTATTGGACCAACTGTATAGGTAGACAAACTTTTGGGTACTACTTACCTTTTCTTAGGTCTCAGTAGATCATCTGAGTCAATTCACAGCTCTTTTGAAGAAAGGGGGCAGAACTCAGAGGGACTGTCTCAGCAGCTTCAGAAAGGCCAGCAGTAAGTAAATGTTTTTAAAGTGAATAGTGGTTGAAGACCTGGGCCCTTATCTTTTGGAGAAGAGAGAGTGTACATTTGTTACAAAAATGCTGACCGATTAACAGTTTTGTGTAATGAATCTAAAATAGCAAGTTGCCTATATTTTAACTGAAGAATTACTCCTACCTTAGCAATCTAGACTGCAGTGTCCTATTTACTGAGTTTGCACGTTACTCGAAAATCAAAGTTTTTATTAAGCTATCAGAAGAAGAAACTTAAGTTGTTACAGTTGTGAGATAGGAACCTAAAGTGTGCCTTAAGAAAAATGAGCTGGCTAACAATGGGAGTTTGGCAGCAACTTCACCATTTATAGAGAATCTGTCTATCTAGTACGATCTGTATAAAATAGACCTTGCTTGGGTTAGGGAAAGGTCACAAGTTATACAAAGTTTGGATAATCTAAATGTGTTACTCAAAACTAACCCTCCTGTGTATAGTAAATATTATTTGAACCTGTATTATTAAGAACATGCCAGGATTCAAAAGATTAAATAAGGAAGATGTAATTATGAGCTAAATAATAAACAGAGCAGCTTTGGTTCCCCTTGTGTTTTTCACTTTCCTGCTATTGTTTCATAGATGACTGTTATACAAAGAGCAGCTTAGGTCAGCTACTATAAATTATGATTTTAGTACAATAGTAATCCACTAAAATTATTTCAGAGCTTGATCAAAGTACTTCAAACAGCTTCTCTAAACTTTTCCACATGGGGGGAGGGGAAGAGGGAGGAATGGCAAAGACTCATTTTCATGGCTTAACTATGTCAGTTTTTACAAGAATTTTTTTCTTGATTTAGAATTGCATTGTGCAGTGTACAACTAGGTTTTTTTATTCAATGTTATTGGGAATGTACAAGATATGCATAATTTATTTGCAGCCTATAATAAACATGATATGTAATACTAATTTAGGGGATTTTTAATAAAATTAGTTGGTATATTTCTCAGGCTACTTACTTCTTTAATAGTGAGGACTCATTTAGAGCTGTGACAAATTTTTGTCTTTTGTGTGTATTTTTAAATGAAAACTCAGAACAAAATTAGTACCAAAAAATTTTTTAAATCTTGTCACAACTCTAAATGAGGCTTCTCTATCAAATTTCTTGTACTCATAGGCAACTGGGAGGGGGTGCCCCCCCGACAGCTGACACCAATGGTGTCGGCAGGGCTGGTGCCCCCCCCCCCGATTAAGGAGGTACCAGTCACTGAAAGTTGCACTAGTTTTGTTCTGAGTTTTTGCTTTAAAATACAACAATTCTATTTAAAATGATTTAATTCTGCTCACTAGCATTTACTGGATGCTAGTTTCACCACTATCTTGGACTGGATTTAACCTAATCTGAGCAATCC